CTGGTTTCATCTCACACCTGATGTCTGCTTTTTCAGATTCTGATATTTTTTTCAGGGTGTTGATTTGTAATAGGCAGAGGGGCTGCGAGCAATATGTTGCCTTTTTGCTGTTGTGCTGTTTTTAGTAATTATAAATATCACTTGGGGCAATTTTGCATCACTATTGAAAATGTGTTGCGTAGGCATACAGTGTTAGCAAAGTAGATTCAATCAAGCTTGCAATTTGACTCACAGACAGGAGAAGCCCACATCAAAGGAATACCTTATTGTTTCTGATTTTTTCACACTTTAAAAAAAAATTCTCCCTTTTAGCTCATCTCTTTTTTAATCAGCACACTGTCTGATTTTTGTTAGAAACCTCCCCCCCCCCCTAACTTGTATCTTTAGTAGGAACATAATCTACAGGCATTCATTCTTTCCAGATTATATTCAAATGGACCTCCTGTTATCTCTCATCAATGGTCATGTTGACAATGATGATGACAACTGTGTCTAGAGAATGTGTTGACAATGATATGTTTAACAATGTCTGGAGCCCCTATCCCCATCCCTGAACTAACAGATCCCTCACTCAAATTTGACATCTGATAAGAAAATAGATACATATTTGAAGAAGTTATTAGTGATTTTTTTTTTTTGCTGTGGCACAATAGGTCTTGTGAGGAGTGCAGTAATAGATGGAAAATCTAATGTGACAATCTGCTATTGGAAGCAACTGGAATGCTAAGTTTATTAGTCCATCCTCAGAGCCCATCCTCCTAGATGGAGAATTAACCTAAGCAGTAGACTTCATTGCTCCTAGGGTTTATTCCCCACTAACTAGAGGATCTTACTTCTTGTTAATTAAAAATGGTTAATTAATTTAAAATTGTTTCATTTAACTGACATAAAGCTAAGTCAAACTCCCAGCACTCTCTTTATTGTCCTTCAATATCATGAAATTCATGCCACCAAAATTTGAGGGGAAATATAGTAGTGCAGTTTTTATTTTAGTCTGAAGTAAAACAAACATGACATGGTAAACATGAAAAAAAACACATACCCATTTCCTTAACACACTACCATATTAATTGAAATGGCTTGAAATTATGATGCCAATTTTACCACTGAATGTTGGTGATATGATTTAGGGAAAGGTGTTCTGCAAAAGGGGTTACAACAGAGAAGGCCCTGTTTCACATCCCTACCAGTCTAACCTTTGTTTTGAATGAAACAATAGGGCTGGTATATCATTCAATAAATTGTACCATTTGTATGAACAGTGTTGCAGAGAACCTCAGAAAGTCAGGTTCAAATTCCCCCCTCCCCCCAGAACTTTGGATAACCTGGAACTAGTAATTTATCTTTCCATTTAACTTACCTGCAAAAATAAAATGAATGGAGAGGAAAAGTTTGCAAGCATCACCTTGACTTGGAAGAAATGTGGTGTGTAAGACAATAGATAAATAAATAAGGTTTATGTTAATTTATTTAGTGTCTTCCGCTTCTCATAGAGAAATAAAAAAGAGTTGGTTCATTCTTCACTTTGGGTCTAAAGTGTGACCCCTCATATTTCTGGGAGGAGCTGAAATGGGAAAAGGAGAAGAGAAAGCTTATGGATGAGCAAAAGTTTTTTCGATCATGTTGTTATTTGTCCAGAATATTTGTTTTATTATGAATTGCCTGCGAATTATTGTGGCTTAGGGTATATGATAGACAGCAAATATAATCAGTGATGAATAAATGAATGATCAAAAACTAAGTAAGACTGATGGATGATGCTTTGAAGGGACTTTCACAGTAAAGCTATGTAAGCTATGAGTCTTATCATGACATCGATCCTCGACTCATGCCTACTCAGTCTATAAAGTCAGATACTTTCAGCCTGTTAAAGCATGAAGAGCCACTTCCTCCAATGGACTCCAGTCTTTTCTTTATTCAGGCCTCAATGGGTGAGTCAAGAACAATATTCTGGGAAAACAAGTTTAATATGATATGAATAACTTTAACTTTAAAACAAGAAATGTGACAAAAGAATTGTTTAGAGGTTGACATAACACATGAAGATGGAGTTGTAATAGCAGGGTGTCTTAGAAGGAAACGGAGATCAATGAGCTTTCAGAATAATGTGATCCTTTAGATCCAAGACAAATTACTGGATGCACTTCTGTAGTGTTTGCTAGAGGATCAGTCCTGAGATGTATGAGAGGCTGTAACTCAAAAGTTGAGTAGATTATTTAGAAGTTGAAAATCAAGTTCAATCTTTGGCCTCTATAGGCAAAGACAGAAAAAAAAATGCTGAGACTTTGGAGACCCTGCCATTTAATAATACTAACTGGATAAGATGGATTCATTGTATGACTCATTCATGCTGATCAGCACAGATGTTTATTTAGAAGTAAAGCTGTTTTTAAGAGCTTTGTTTATAACATATTTTCATAGATCTAAGGTAGACCCATATTTTCTGCTTGATCCTTCACCAGTATGAGCCACTCTTGACAATCTCCTCCTTCCTCTCCCAATGCACTGCAAATCCGTCCTTCCTTTGTGGTTTCCAGCTCCCATTCAAAACTGCTATTGTTCCACTCTGTAGGGCATTTCCAGGGCTTTGTTCCATTTAATAGTAGCCCCAGTTTGGATTAGGCTTGTCTCCAGCAATTGTGTGTGCTCCATCACTGGAGAGTTTTAAGAAGAAATTGGACAGCTATTTGTCTGAAATGGTATAGGGTCTCCTGTTTGAGCAGGGGGGTGGATTAGAAGACCTCCAAGGTCCCTTCTAACTCTGTTATTCTGCTAATGGCCAGTAACTCTCCTGCACAGCCAATTCATCCTGGGTTGTGCAGACTACTATGTTCTCTGCAATGCTTTAAATCTTGCCAATTGAATCAGCAATGGCTCACATCCTCAGTCCTGGAGATCTGTGCTCCAGTTAGCCCTGATATCCCCTAGGGGGAAACTTTTTCAGTTTCTAGGGAGTTTTGGGTGAAGCATGCTTTCCTTGCTCTCCTACTCCCTGATCACTATTCTGTGTGTTTTCTTTCTCTTTCCTGTCTTTTAAAAAAAGACATTTCAGCTGCAACACAGGAAGGCTGCCACTTTGCTTCTGTGAAGGTGATGTACCGAAATGTCCGAAATGGTGTAGGGTTCCTGCCTGAGCAGGGGGTTGGACTCAATGACCTCCAAGGTCCCTTCCAACGTTGTTGTTGTTGTTGTTGTTGTTGTTATTATTATTATTATTGTTGTTGTTGTTGTTGTTATTATTATTATTATTATTATTATTATTATTATTATTATTATTATTATTATTATTATTATAAGATGCCTTCTACCAATTGTCCTCGCTAGAAAGCTCCCAGGGACTTAGAGGGGAATGTAGGAATGAGCAAACCACCTGCTTCCTATGGCTTTGGTTCCTGTCGCACTGGAGCCAAGTGATGCTAGGGGTGGGATGAGGTGGGAGAAACAATAGAAAGGGTCTGCATTAGGGAGTATCAAAGGAGATTGCTAAGACATTTCTATAGGCAAAATCATGGGGAATAAAAGGAAAAGCACAAAGACTAGTGAAAATCTCTAAAAGAAAAGGGCAGGTACTGGTATACTGTACAAAGCTACACAGGTGCTAGCCAACAAGGTTTGGTTTCCCTACATGGATAGGAAGGCAAAGGGCAGAGAAACAACACATCCAATGCTTGGTGGCGATAGTCCCTACTGAACACCAGCCCAATCCCATTGGCATCTCGCTGGAATCTGGCTGGAAATATGCTTTCTTGCAAGGAAGAGTGAATACAACCTAACAAAGTCACAAAGCTGGGAAAGAAAAGCTTCTAGGGAGCTGTCAAAATGGCCACGCACCCCCTTATCTTTTGTGCGATGCACTCTACATGGGGCTACCCCTGAGTCCACGTGGATGCTACAGCTGTAGTCCAGCTGCAGCAACACAAGCAGTCATGGGCATGTCTCAGTAGGCCCATGTGACACCACTGCTCCACAAGCTGCTTGTGTTGCCTTTTGGCTTCCAGTACAATTCAAAGTGCTTGTTACAGTCATGGCATAGGATCTGGTTCCGCAGAACTGCCTGTCTCCAGTTGTCTGTTTGCATGATCGAGGAAAGAAGGTATGCTCCAGGATTTTTTGAATAAATAATGTTGTCTTTGGCACCCACAAAACATGGTTTCTCTGCTGAGATCCTTGTCCTCTGGGACAGGATCCGGCCCAGAGATTCATATGACTCCCACCCAGATGATGTTCAAGAAGCCTCTAGAAACCTGGCTCTTCCACCAGGCCTTGGATCATGATGGGTGCTAAGCAGTGGTGGGATTCAAATATGTGAACAACCGGTTCTCTGTGTGGATGCCGCTTCCGGAAGTCCATTCTGGGCCAGGGCAACAAAAAATTAGTTCCCAGTTCTGCCGAAGTGGTGCAAACCGGCTGAATCCCACCACTGGTGCTAAGTTAAGTGTACAAAGCCACTTGATTAAGGATATGTATGGTTTGTGATTTTTATTTTTCTATTGTTGTTGTTTTTACAACGTTCGGTCCTAGCTTTGGTATTTTTCCACGTTTTTGTGGACTTTGACAATGAAGGCTACCCAATGTGCAAATAACACAAAACTCGATAGGAGTTTATAATTTACGTTTTAAAATCCGGTTTGCAGATGAGGATTGTGTATAGATTCCTTTTCGAAATAAAATCCCTAGAATGGTGTTCAGCTAAGAAATTAGAGAGCTCGGCTAATGTATTAAGCTTTAAAAAACCAGTAAGCCTATGTAAGAAAATTAAGTGTATTATGTTCCAATATTTACAATGTGCAGCAAATACGTTCCTTTCAGAGTTCTGTAAAATGAATCTTTGATCTTTAAAAAAAAATGAAAAACGTTCAGGACTTCACCTGTGAGAATTGTTCCACCTTTCGCTGCCTACCTCTCTTCCTTATAAGGCAAACCAGGAAGTAAAAGGACTGTGCTAAGTTCCATAACCATGCTGCTTGCCTATCTATCAGGCTACCTGCTTAGGTACCAGGGTTTGTTTTGTTTTGTTTTCTTTACACCCATGTAGCCTTCTGTTACATTCTTCGAAAACCTCCATAGTTTGAAAACCTTCAGCTGTACATTAACGGCTTCCGAACTTTTCTTTTCACTGAGCTTAATTAATGTTTGATATATTTTGTGCCTGCAGCCAGAACTGAAAGCGAATGGGGATTGAATTGCTCTGCCTTTTTTTCCTATTTCTACAAAGGAATAAAAATGTACAAGGTAAGGCTCATTTTATATATGGAATACAAACTTAAAAGAGTGTTTATTTGTTCACGTGAGTTTTGTGTGATTTTGTGAATCTGCATCTGATCTCTATAATTATAATATATCTTGAAGAAATATAGCAAAAAAAAAATGTTTTTTCAAGGACTTTGGTCTGATTTCATGAAGAATGATTCACTGTCAGGTGGACAGACCAGGTCAAGGATTAATGTAAAATAATATTAACAGCTGCTTTATCCTAATTATCCTCTTGAATAAAGCAGGACACTGATTCCAGTTAAAACTATTGCTTCACAAGGTTTATTTCTTATTGAAATTTTAACAATCGTTTCCATCTCTTTTGCAAATAACTAAGGGCTTTTCAAACAAACAAGTAAAACTGGATTCTCTGACAAACCATCTTCCAGGAAATCAGAATGCTGCCCAGAACGTTATGTACCTGACATAATTAAAGTATGAGCTAATCTAATACATTTCCTTGATTTGCCATGTAGGAAATTGTGATTCAGGGAGTGCCATGAACTGTGAAGATTGTTTGCTCTCTGGACCAAGCTGCCGCTGGTGTTTCCAAGAGGTGAATTATTTCAAACACACAAAAATAATGACTTGATGTAATTACAAATTATGTGTTTGTTAAATAATATACTATTCATATTCTGAATTCTCCGCTCCAAACCACATTCTTCAGAAGAAAAGTAATTCAAAGAGTGGGTCAAAATACCTACTTTAGAATCAGTTGAAATGAGCATCTCCCGTTACTTTTTCCCGTTTTAATCTCTAGGCCCTAACTCTGATTTCTAAGCAGTGTTAGAAGCTTTTTATACAACTTTCCATTTAACAAAAAAATTAATTGGTGACCTAGCAGCTGCTTAAGAAAAGCAACCCTGAATTCCATATTGATGGGCTTTAAGGATTATTAACCAGGCTCATTAATCACATTCAAGTACACTTTCCAAAGGATTGTTCATGTGTATAATTAACAAGTTTCGGGCAAAGACGAATCTTATGGAAGAAATAGAGACAATGTAAACACAGAGGGTATAATAGGGGCAAAAACTAGTCTACAGAGAAGTTACATAACAGCCAAAAAAGATGTACTACCAAGGAACATCTTCCTTGGACAGATAATATTCTGAATCTTATCTTGCATCCCTTAAAATATGCAACAAGGAATGAGAAGAAATAAATCTAATTACCTGGCCAGGGAGGAGACACACATTGAAACAGTTGTCTCATTTAAAGATTTATTAACTGTAGCCTGGAAATTGTCTAATATTTTCAAATCTGTCTCTGCCAGTAAAGAGACTAGAAATTTCTGGCTCAGTTCAGCTGACCTAGTGATTCAAGCATGAGCTGGGTTCTACTGAACCCAAATCATAGAGAACGGAATATGCTTCATATAGCAAGACTGTAGCACCTCCTTCGCTTTGCAAGTGAAATATAAATATGGTGCCAGACACCAGCTTCTGTGTGAAATTGTGCATGATCAAAACTGCAGAAAATTAGTAGCTTTGGGTTGACTGTTTCTAAGTAACCGTATGACTTAATGTTTACACAATCTTTATTGTGCTCACAGAAAGCAGTAAAACTTTTTCTTATATTCAGAAATTTTCAAGTGAAGAAATCATGCTTGGTCCTGTTTCCACATTCCATTATTTGGCATTTGTTGCTGTTTTGGTAAATCCCAAATTTGGCCCTGTGAAAGAAACTAACAGTTGGTTATAGAAAACTCTGCTTATACAGTTTGCTTTTGAGGGGGGGGGGGAAATCAGGAACTTCAATGATGAGGAAATAAATTGGATGAATTATGATCACTGTGATTGTGGAGATGCTGCGAAGGTCATAAATGTGAGGGCCAGTCATAAGTCACTTTTGTCAGGGCCGCCCTAACTTTAAATGGTTGTTAAACGAATGGTCATAAGTCAAAAACTACCTCTATGGCAAGATGACCTGCTGGTCTATATGGAGATCTGTTTTCTCTAGTGTGGCATTGCCAACAAAAGCAACCACAGAGAGGTCTCTCTTCCTGCACTCAGAATTCTTTGACTGATGGGGTCCACAACTCACTTTCCCTGCCTGACCAGGTGGGACAGACTGATGTAATGAGATGAAGACAGTTCCATAGGTAACCTGGCCCCATGCCATATCTCATCTCTTAGCTCTAAATCAGGGGTCTTCAAACTTGGCCCTTTTATGACTTGTGGGCTTGAACTCCCAGAATTCCTCAGCCAGCGTGCCTGGCTGAGGAATTCTCTGAGAGTTCAAGTCCACAAGTCATAAAAGGGCCAAGTTTGAAGACCCCTTTATTTATTTAGTTAGTTAGTTCCTTCTGGTTCCTTCTAGTCTCCAACCTTTAGTCTCATCCTATCATTTTTTTAAAAAGAGAATTCAAAATAAAAGCGTTTTTCCATAGGAAGAATTGTTATAATTAATTCCAAAGTCTTATTTCAAATCCATATGCACTCCTAGTCCATTTGTAGCTTTCTACAATTAAAGTTCTAATCACTCTGTTTATTCCAAAAAAAGTCCTTAAACTTGAATTTAAAATTTATTTTGCTAAGGATTGAAAGAAACTCTGATAGACCTGTAAAATTTGTCATTCCAAAGATTCTTAATAGCTGAAACCCAGTTAATGTCATTTAGAGCTCTGATGGCACAATGATTAAAGTGCAGTATTGCAGGCAAACTCTGCCCACAGTTTGGAGTTTGATTCTATCAGTTCAAGGCTGACTCAGCTCTCCATCCTTCCGAGGTTGATAAAATGAGGACCCAGATTGTTGAGAGCAATATGGAAATAATGCTTCTTCATTGTAAACCACCCAACGAGTGCTATAAAGCACTATGGGGCAGTATATAAGCCTAACTGCTATTGCTATTTCCAAAAGTGAAAAGGAAATATGTGAACCAAGTGTTCTTTTGAAGGTTCTGACCATGGTTTCAGCAAAAATATGGCTATTCTCTCATCTCTGAGAACTTTAACCCTGCCGGAGACTGCTATCTTGCAATGTCTTTGCAAGAAACAATTGTTCGGAGCAATTGTGGGTGATCTTAAGTCCTCTCCTTGTTCAGAGAGGAATTATAAAGAGCTGCTGTACTTGCTGGGTCTTAATTCCGCTGTTGTCTTTGGCTGTGCTTTTAGCAGAGCTGTCCTCACTTCTCTATTTCTTCCCTGGAAGTCCAACAGTAGGTAATTTGGTCTGATGCCTTTTTGAAAGTCTGATTTCTAAAACTAAAGGGCAACTTCCATTTTGAATAAATTCAGAAACAATTTTGCTTTTAGTATGAATAGAAGCGATGGAAATCTTGATTTAAAAGAAATCATGTTGACAAAGTAAGCTTGCTAAAGGTATATTTATATTCTATTCATATAATTATACACTGTGCCTTCTCAGCGGAGCAACTGTTTTTTCCCCCCTCTGATCCATAGCCAAGGCAGACCTTAATGCTATAAATGTAACTAAGCATGTTGGGATAGTTTTTCAGTTCCCCTTTTCAAGAAAGAAACCTAAGAATTTTGTGAGTGTGTGTTTGTCTGTGTGTGTGTCTGTGTGTGTTTGCCTTGGAGTCAATGTTAACTTGTGGTGACTGCCTGGACAAATCCTTGCAGTTTTCTTTACAAGGTTTTCAGAAATCATTTGCCCTTGCCTCTTTCCTAGGGCTGAGAGAGAGTGACTGGCCCAAGGTTACCCAGTTGGCTTTGTGCCTAAGGCAGGACTAGAACCCCATGCAGTGGTGGGATTCAGCCAGTTCGTACCACTTCGGCAGAACCTCTAGCTAATTTTTTGTTGCCCAGGCCCAGAATGGACTTCTGGAAGTGGCATCCACACAGAGAACCAATTGTTTACGTATTTGAATCCCATCACTGACCCCATGGGATTAATGTGATTTTCTTAGGGCTTATCCTCACACCTTGCTAACTGCAGCTTAAAGATGCCTCATTAATCATTTTTAAAGGACATGATATGTCCTCCTGGCATTGGCTTTGTCTCTTCCTCAACCTACTGTGCAGATAATATACATTCAAATGTAGCAGTTCCAGTTTGGAAGGGGCAATTTCCCTCTTCTTCAAACACAAGTTTGTGTGAATGATCTGGGATGGTTCCTTGACAGGAATGGAGATGGCATTTGAAGGGGTTGCAGGCATACTGTCTCTGTTCTGGTTGCTTGATATTGCCTCCCATTTTAATAGAGGTTGCCAGAGACCTTGGCATCCACAGATGCACCTGGGGATTAAGGAAGAAGCACACTCAGTATGAGAGATTATGGGGTGGCTGAGAAAGGAATGGAACAGACAGGTGACAAAACAAACAAGAAACTGCAGGCAAGTCAGATGATAGCTTATCATTCTGAGAGACTCTTTCTTAATTAACTCAAAATAAATGGGGTTGGGAAATTCCTCTTCAAGTTTTCAAGATTCTGTATCTCCCTAGACTATCATTATCATTAAAACGTTGATTATATGCCATCAAGTTGGTGTTAACTGTTAGCAGCTCCATAGATAACCTTCCCAGGATAGCATTAAAAATCCTTCACTGAAGTTTGTGTAGTGCTTGTATCCTTGGTTTTGGTTCATTCCTCAGTAGGCATGCAAAGGCTTGCATTGTTTGCCTAGGAAAAACATTTTGCCTGCCCATGTTGTGATTGTGTAGCCTGAGGCATGTTTCCACTGCTGAAACCTGTCCTCCATGGATCTTAAAATAGCTTACTTCCAAGAAAGCTCATAGATGGATGTCAGCCCTAGTAGGAAAATATCAGAGAGGGGGGAAACTAACCTTCATCTGTCCCCAAAAGGACATACAAACAAAACATCAAGGTTAGTGTTATCATGATGTGTGCATGCTTTCAAAGGGCATCTGATTATCAATTGATATGAGCTGATAGTTGGACTACTTTTGGACATGGATTTAGTGTTCTTCCAGAACACTACAATGTTTTGCTTGTACAAGAAAACTTGTACCAAACCAGACATGGTCTAATAATAATCATGCCCTTCATCCACACAGCGATGTTGACAGACTCTGCTTACCAAAGAAAATAGGTGGATGTGGAATATTTCCTCCCTAGTCCCAGTCCATTCAGATTAAGCGAGCAATTGGCAGATATTTCCCCACCTCCAGGAGATACCCAATGGGAGAGTAGAGCCAGGTGAATCCGCCAATCACTTTCCTTTACTTGTCCTGCATTTGGACTATGTAACGATTGCCAGGCCTGTTTTTTAGGCAGAATAGAATACAACAATGAGGTGGTGCACAGTAAGTTGACATATTTCTGTGAGCGCAGGGACAAGGAATGGTCACATTAGAGTAGGTGTAAGTAACAGCCCTCAGATTTCAAATCAAGTGGAACTGTTAATCAGAAGCCAGAATGTTGTTCTTGTTCTTTTTATTGTAGGTCATCATAAGTTTTTACTGTACAAAGATTCCTGTGGAAAGGCATTGTTGCTTTTTTAAGGAAATATAATTACATTATATGGTTGATTCCATGGGTTTTCAGGAAAAGACAAGTGAGTGAGACACTAGTTTCCTCCAGCTTATTTGTTGCATCATTTCTAAAAACGTACACAAATGAATACTT